GCACCTCTGCCCATCTCTTCCTGCGTCTTCCCACCCTGCCGGCCCTCAGCAGTCTGCTTCCCTCACAGCAGCCAGAGGGGCTCCCTACAAACAGGAATCTGACCATGGTGTGTGGGCTTAAAATGTACCACTTGAATGCCACTTCACACCTGTCAGAATGCCTAGAATTAACAACTCAGGAAATAACAGATGTTTGTGAGGATGCTGAGAAAGGAGAACACTTTTGCGTTGTTGGAGGGAATGCAAACTGGGGCAGCCACTGTGGAAAACAGTATGGAGGCTCCTCAAAAAATTAAACATAGAACTGCCCTATGACCCAGCAATTGCACTAGTAGGTATTTATCCAAAGGATACAAAAATGTGGATTCGAAGGGGTATATGCATCCCAAATTTATAGCAGCACTATCAGCCTTAGTCAAACTACAGAAAGAGTCCAAATGCCCATAGACTGATGAGTGGATAAAGAAGATTTGTATATATGTACATTGGAATAATAGCGATGAAAAAGAATGAAATCTTACCATTTGCAACAATGTGGATGGAACTAGAGTGCACAGTAAAACCTTTGACTATGAGTACCTTGTTCTGCAAGTGTTCTATAAGGCGAGCAAACATTTCTAATAAATTAAAAAATTATCATGTTTGTTTTTGAGAGAGACAGACCAGCATGAATGGGAGAGGAGCAGAGAAAGAGAAGACACAGAATTCGAAGCAGGCTCCAGGCTCTGAGCCATAAGTACAGAGCCCAATGTGGGGCTTGAACTCATGAACCAGGAAATTATGACCTGAGCCGAAGTTGGATGCTTAACTGACTGAGCCACCCAGGCACCCCTCTAATAAATTGCAACTTGATAAATGAGCAATGTCTTGCAATACGGGTGGGATGTGACTCCAGATGTCACATGATCACAACTGAGCCAATGGTTCCTCTCTCTCTCCTGCTGTAGGATTGTGGGTGATCATCTCCCATGCTCGGTCTCAGGTTGTAGTATTTGGCAGAAATCAGTGATTTTTCAGAATGTTTGAAGATGCCTACAATGGGCACTGGTGTATTTTTTGTCACTTCAAAGCACCTGTGGACAGTCCTTTGCTTCTCCATACAAGAGGAAGCTCAGGAATGCTTTGCTTCATTCTAGGTCAGGCTGCCTGCAGATTGAGGCCCTTTCCTTTGCTGCCTTATTGTCAGTTTACATTAAATACAATATATGACAAGAGTTTATTAATACTGTGCTGTAGTCAACATCCATGCAAGTGTATACAATTGCCTCCATGCAGGAAAAGATTCCAATGAGCCAATAGATAGCAGTGATTCCATTAGTGATCGTGAAAGTCGTCCAACACAATAACCCTCCTCTCTCTTGTCTCCTTCACACCAGTCATGAAGGTTTTCAAAGGTAAGTGCAAGTTAGTTTGTTTATTTTTCTTTATATTTTATATTTCCTTTATTATTTTGTATTATATTACAGTATTGTAATCATTTTTATATAAATATTTTGGGGTTGCAGAACAAATCATCTGAGTTTCCATTATTTCTTATAGGGAAATTTGCTTTGATAGACAAGTGCTTTGGATTACAAGCATGTTTCCAGAACGAATTATGCTCGCAATCCAAGGTTTACTGTATTATGCTAAGTGAAATAAGTCAGTCAGAGAAAAAGAAATATCGTATGATTTCACTTATATGCGGAATTTAAGAAACAAAACAGATGAACATAGGGGAAGGAAAGGAAAAATAAGATAAAAACAGGGAGGGAGGCAAACCATAAGAGACCTAAATGCAGAGAACAAACTGAAGGATGCTGGAGGGGAGGTGGGTGGGCAGATGGGCACTTGCTGGGATGAGCGCTGGGTGTTGTATGTAAGTAACGAATCACTAAATTCTACTCCTGAATCCAAAACACTATATGTTAACTAACTTGAATTTGATTAAAAATTTTTTCTACTTGGTACAACCACTTTGGTAAACTTTTGTCAACATCTATTCAACCTGAACATAGTATCCCCTATGACTTGGCCTTTACACTTCTAGCTACAGACTCAACACAACACGTAAGTGTTAATCCACTAAAGGACATGTAGTAGATGTCATAAGAACACCATTTGTAGGATCCCCAAATGGAAATGTCTATGCATATGTTCACATAATGGAATACCACACAGCTCTTTTGTGTATGTATTTTAAGAGTATTTAGAGTTCCCCATTGCCCTTGGAACAAACTCTCTAAGTGGACACCATGGTCTCACATGATCTTGCCCTACCCACATATCTACATCTCATTCCAGCACCCTCTTAGTGACTTCCAACTCTCCCTGGTGAACTGAACATACCAATGTCCCCAAATGCACCATAGATAAGGACATCTTGATGGGGAGGGGTGGCATTAGTTAGTAAACCATAATGAGTAAAATGATGAAAGGAATCCCAAAATTGCCATAGACGGTTTTTCCAAGCTCTCGTTGTCAGTGTTCATGAGCAAAAGTGTCTCATGAACTCCTCTGGAGTCCGTGTTTCCCTCTGGCTGTGTGAAAGGGGTGTGTGCCTAGGGCTGCACCTGCCCTCCTTCCCTGAAAGGGGTCTCTTCCTTCTAATGACAACCTTCTCCTCCCAGTCATGACCTCACTTCTCTCTGTAGACACCTGAGAGAGGCGGGTTCCTATTCACCAACTGCACACATGTGCACATTGTAATCGATTCCTGCTTCCCCCCTTCAAGGTGGTGTGACCCAGGACAAATTATGTATCAGATTTGCAGTTTCTGTGTTTCAAAATTGTGAATAATAATAGAAGTGGGTCATATCTAAATGCGGAGAAATAATGATTTATTTTGAGACTTAGAAGAGTGAATGCATAGGAAACCCTTTCCACAACGTTTGGCAAATGGCAGGCACTCATATGCAACAGCCCTCCCTTGGTTTATTATTATAAAACACCTTCTGCCTGCAGCTCAAATATCTGGCCACAGCTTAAGTAAGAAATTACATTAACAGAAGACCCCCTCCTGGATGCTCAGACATATGATTTCCCAAACCCTATCATGGAAGTTAGACCTAAAGTTGCATGTGACCCGTTCCTTCACATGTTGTGTGGCCTTCACCAACATTTCTCATCTGCCAAAAGGGGTACCCACACCCTTGACCTTTCTTTGTGCCATCTTGAGATAGCACTGTGTCCTCCAACAGAGCCCGCAGATAGATGTAAGTACACAGGAATGAGAAATTGATGTTTTATTGAAAGTAATGTGGGGAAAAACAGAAAAGAGTTTCCATAAGCAACACCCTTTAAACATTCTGTATGTTCTTATCCAAGCACTGAACCGTCTCCTCCCCTCACTCTCTTCCCCTCCCTTCCTCCCACCCTCCCTCCCTCCCTCTTTCCCTTCACTTCTCATTCTGACATCCTTCACTCAACACCGATCAAGGTAGAAAAACTCCCTTAGGGTCTATCCTCTGCTAGGACAGAAGGAACTATATACACTGTCAACCAACTTCTTGGAGAGAAAGAGTTTATTTACTTTTTGTACATTTTTATATTAAAGGGTGTATAAAACACTGGACACATGCCTGAAAGAAAAGCTGATGGCATTTATTATTATGCATACTTTTGTTCAGCTGTATGGTGATGAAGGGAAAGTCTTTCCTTCCTTCTCCATTTGAGAAGAACCATGGGCATCAGTGCCCAGACACGTCCATGTGATGCTCCCCCCCCCAACTCATCCACAGGTACATAACACATTTGTAGACAGAAGTAATGGGATGGAGTTCATCACATGGGGTCTTGAACAGGAGATCATGATCTCTAGATCCTATGCAAGAGGGAGGCACACAAATTGGAGAAAAACGAATACCTAGCAGGTATCCAACACCTATAGATGCATTCAACAATACTTACTCAGTATTTTCTTACATTGAATCCCTACATCAGTCTTATGGAGATGGACCTTTTCATCCCCAACCCTACTGTCATTTTCTCCACCACCAACTGGCCATCAGGAGCTTAGGGGACTGAATTTTCTCTGGAAGCTTTTCTTTATGGCATTCTTGAGCTCCTTATTTTGGAGGCTGAAAATGATCGGGCTGAGAAAGGGGGTGAAGACTGTATAGGTGGTGGCCTTCAGGGTGTTGCTGTCCATAGAATGGAGGCCCTTGGGCTTGAGGTAAATAATGGAGGCAAAGTGGTAGTGCAGAACGACCATAGTGAGGTGACACACACATGTAGAAGGTCTCAGCTGAGTAGATCCTCAATATGGCGGCCACGATGAAGACATAGGAGAAGACGATGAGGAATAAACAGCCCATTAGAGCTGAGACACACACCAGGATCACAGCCAAGGTGACGGAGGATGTCTCCTTCCCACAGGCCAACTTTCGAAGGGAAAGCACGTGGCAGGCAAAATGGTGGATCACATTAGACCCACAGAAGGTGAGGTGAAAAACTATCAGGGTCAACATCATTCCCATGACTGAGCCACCAGCCCAGCACCAGGGGCAGCTGTGGGGACTCATGAGCACATTGTAGCACAGGGGGTGGCAGATGGCTATGTAGCAGTCATAGCCCATGATCATGAACAGAAAGGACTGCTCTGTGTCCTCACATCACTTTGCCCTCATTATTCATTCATATAGTAAAGAAATGTTATTCAACACTTATTTCATATGGAAATATTATAGGTGATGGGATCCAGCTATACCCAAGAACTAGGTCTCTGCTCTCTCTTTTCATGGTCCAGTGAAAGAATCTGTCATATAACCAAAGATGACAGCACAGAATGGTCAGAGATGTGATGAAGGCAGCCTAGGGATCTGAAGAAGCTGGCGTGGGTCACAGATCCAACCTGGGATTTAGAGACTTTGGCAATTGGTGATGTCTACATTGAGACATGAGGGAGTGTAAGTATGATTCAGGCAAGGCAGGTAGGTGGAAGATGGGTTTCCAACAGTATAGCAAGTGCAAAGGTTCAGGGTGACAGAGGCATGGTGCATTGGGGACAATCGTTGTCTAGCACAGCCCAGAGAGTTGGAGGTGGCTAGAGGAATTCTGGAATGCGAAGGCAGATAGGTGGGTAGGACAAGATCATGCAAGACCATGGCGTCCACTTAAAGAGTTTGTTCCAAGGAACTCTAAATACTCTCAAAATAAATACAGAAAAGATGGAAAGCCTGGATGGCTCATTTCGTTAACCATCTGACTTCGGCTCAGGTCATGATCTCATGGTTCGTGGGTTTAAGCCCCACAATCTGGCTTTGTGCTGACGACTCAGAACCTGGTGCCTGCTTTGGATTCTGTGTCTCCCTCTCTCTCTGCCCCTCCTCACACTCACACTCTGTGTCTCCCATTCTCTCTCTCTCAAAAATGAATAAACATTTAAAAAAATTTTAAATACACAGAAAAGATGTGTATGGTAATTGAGTATGTCAACATATTTGTAGATGTTTCCTCTTGGGGGTCCTATGACGTCTACTACATGTTCCTTCGTGGATTAATACTTACATGTTGTGTTGGGTCTGAAGCTAGCAGTGTAAATGCCGAGTCATAGGGGATACCTATGTTCAGCTTGAATAGATTCTGCCAAATGGATTTCCAAAGTAATTATACCAAGAGGTACATTTTAAGCC